ATGCCATGGCACAGCAGATTAAAGAATTCAGAACAAATTTAATACATGTAGGAGAGTTATAATTCATTTTTGTTCCCAAATGCAGCTGGTACTCAGCAGACATTTATGAGTGCTCCAGAGGAGACTAGATCATACATTTCTCTTCTAACAAGCAGATCCTTAGCTGCCAAGTTGGTAACCATAACAAAGTGTCATTAGCTGTGTGCTGAAAGAATGACTAGCATTTAGCAGGTCATTGATCCCTACTAGACTCCCTTTGCCTCATGTTGGCAGTGGTTCATATAGATTTGTGTACCCAGTAGGTTATTTAAAGGATATGATTATATTTTGGATGACAAACATCTTTGTATTTATTTAATGATTGTATTTGCTGGTAGAGAGCATTCAATTATCTTTAAGTATCAGTTTCTCCAAATATCACATGAGTCATGGATGATATTACTTCCTCCTTATCATAATTAAACTGTTTTGTGCTGCAGTGCATTTTAAAGAGCAAAATATATTTTAAAATATTTGAAACTCAAAAGAACGGGTGTTGTAGATCTACAAAAATATAAGAACATTGAAATTGTATTGCAATAAGAAATGTTTTGTGCTGTCTACCACAGCTTACTGGTATTTTGGCTAGGTGTATGTACAGTATGTGCTCAACTTCAAATTCTTTTCCATTTTTGCCTGTTTCTATAAATCTTAAAACAATTGCAAAATGTTATTTGCAGGATTTCAGAATTCTAGTGCCAGCATAAATACATTGAATTGAACTCAGGCTTATTACCCTGTCCTATAAATGACAAAGGAACCTTAATCCTATTGCTTGATGAAATACTGTAATTTCAGAAGAGTTTTAAGATGAAAAGTGTCAGAAAACTGAAACAATTAAGTCAGATTTAATGTGATGTTCCAACCCAATCAGCCATTGTTTTAGCAGAACAAAGATTATTGGTATTAAGTCTGTATATATTTAGGAATCAAAACACATAAGATTTTATTTGATCATTGTAATGCATTTGTTGTATAGTTTTGTACATAATTATTTTAAATAAAAGATAATCCATAAATAATTATTGTTTAAACTCTTGAATTCCTGCTTCCAATACTAATTGAGTATTTTGGTTAAAGGCCTGGGAGGTGGTAATTGTTTCAAATTAAGACAAAATTAAGAAAAGTGATGGAGGATAAGGTGAATTTATTTTGATTATAAGCTTCACACATACAGTACATCCTGTCACATACTGTACTGTATATTTGTTATTGAAGACAGCTTGTTTAATTTGCTATGCATTATTTCTGTGATTGATGTTTTATGAATTCTTTGAATATTTTATGGTATATAAAATATATATTTTTACAAATGACAAGTACGCACATTCAGTCAGAGACAATTTATTTTAAAAACGTCCTGAAGTGTCACAGTTATTAATAATGCATGAACGCATTAACGTGATTAGTCTTTCACTTGGTGTACTCCTTTATTTGCCTAAAGATTGGTAGAGGTCAATAAGTCTTGTTTTATGGTCCAATTTACTTTGTTTTTCTGGTGAATAGACTTGGGCTGAAAACCCATGCAGACACAAGACAAATGGTCACATTGATGAGGGTCTGGTTACAACTAAGGCTCATTAAGGCTTACGAATGTTTTTTTTTTCTTTTTACTGGAGTACCTGTATTTGCATTTTGTCTACAAGAAGCACTTACTTATAGAAATGCAACAGAGCATGAATTTCACCTGCTCTCCTTAAAGCAATGTAGTTGAAGTTAAAGCTAAATGTGGAACCCTGTGATTAATGTGGAATTTCCTTCCGTGAGGTATTTTGCAGGCTTTCATGGATTACATTCTTGAGCCTTTCAGGAACCACAGAGTTGAAGAGGCGATGCATGGCATTTGTGGCATTCTTGCTTGAAGCACTGAGGGACCAGGTTCTGGTATCTTATTTAAACAGTACATACCTTAGAAGGTGATGAAAAAGATGAATTAGTATTCAGGAAGGACTCCAAGCTATAGACAGTATTATGACAGAAATAAATGTAGAATTTTCTTGCAGAATGAATAAGGAGTCAAAAAGGTCAAAGCAATAAGATAAAGTAAATCATTCAATCAACGTGTGTACATTATATAATTATATGAACAATGCTTTGCTAAGGAAAATTCAAGTATTCCAGAAAATGTAATGTAATATTCCAAAGTATTCTAAAGTATGAAATATCAAAATGGTGTCAATAGCCACTGGACAATCGATATTCGGCTTTTCTATCACTTAGAAGACAAAGAAAACACATTTTACATTTACTTTTTTATGGTTTAATTATGATGAATTTCATGAATCTTGATGTTTCTTGATAAAAACTATAAATTCCAGTCTGCCTTTGTACACTGTTGCTCACCAAGTGGCTCATATTCTACTGTAGGTACATGTAGGTTGAGTAATTTAAACATAAAATCAAAGTCTTTCTAAATGTAAGCACAAATCTTAAAACTGTAAGCACTGGCATGTATCAATAATCAAATGAATTATAAGTATGAAATATCACAACCTGTTGTCTGAAAGATCTAACAGTATTTCCCTTCATTTAAATAAGAACTTGCTCCTCCTTTTGATATTTACTATACAGTAAGTGTACAGTATATACCACATCTTAAAACTAACAAACCCCACTTTGCTAGATTAAATTATTTAATTTCTGGAGTAGT